TATATGATCTTCTGTGTTGGATACAAGCTGTTTCAAATGCCGGACAGTCACCGAGTTGGTCTATGAACTAATCGGAAATTATTTCACTTTTAATTAAATGTCAATGGTTGTGTAGGTTCGCCAATTTATCTTCGAAATTCACATCTCTTCATGTAACTGGGAAGCTTCCATTTACATTTCACTTTTTATTTTCCCACATCGCAACGACCCGCGAGAATATTTTATATACAATATATAAAGAGATGCTCACTGGTTTACATCGCATATATTACGCATTTTTATGGAAATCTATCTAAAGCTTTTCCACAATTTACCTTTGAAAGCTTTACCAACAAACAGCATATTTTACCTTTGGCAAATAGATTCTAACACAGAAATTTTCTCGGTAACATATATTTCCATAACACTACCAATCGAATTATTTCGAGATATTTAGCATATTAATTCCGTTATAAATTTTGCTCACAAAGGGCAAAATATCCCACAGAAACACAACTAAAATCCTATTAGTACAACTGGCAACAGTATTAGAAAATTAATTTTGAATGCGATTTACGCTTCCAGAGGAAAAACTAAAGTATTATTGTAGATATCGTTAACCGTCAAGACGACATGAATTAACAATATTTTCTGGCTTCATGTTCATTTCTTATGCAACAGTCTTTAATCACTTTCTGTGAGTCTTTACTGAGTTTAATATGTTAATGAGTTAATGAGTCTCTTAATATTCGAATTTAGTAGTAGAGTTTCTGAATCTTATTTATATCAAAGAGATTTTATGCGAGATGTTTTAAAGGAACGTAATTAGTTTTACCCAAAAACATCTGATGTGAGGTTTTACCAATATCAAAGACGCAAATCGAAAGATGTTTTTGAGAGAAAGTATTTTGAATTAAAAACGAGAGAGAAGGATTAGAAAATAAATATAATTTGCTGTTATCAAAAGGATATGCAATAAGGTGTAATTTTATAGATAAGTTCTATATTGTTGAGGCGGATTCATTTTTTACAAACTTCTTTTTGGGTATTTCGCCTCAAAAATTTTTGTCTTTAAAAAAGAC